AACGTATCCCTCAGCAAAGAGAAAGCAATTCAAAAGTTGTGGTCAAAAACCTTTTATTGCCAACAACATTACTTTATCAAAAGGACGTTGTCTTGAGTGCAAGAAAAACACACTGCACTTCGGCATGTTTTCGGCCAAATTTGTGATGAAAAAGACACTCATACCCGCTTCTCCATGATGGGACTCGTGTCTAAACGATACAAAGTTTTATATATAACCAACAGATTGTGTGCAAACAAAGATCTAAAATAAAAAACCATTGGGCATTAAGAACTCCCATTCAACATCAAATGAACCTGTAATCAAAGCAGGCAGTTCTGTTTTTCAGAAGGGGAAGAAACGTGCTTTTCACAAAGTGGGGTATTCAAAGCTTATCCTCTACCGTTCGTATAACTCTGGTGCGAAAACGAGATAGATGATGTTACTAACAAAAAGCCCATGCAGGAAATGGTAATAACGTAAAAAGTGTACCACAGACAATGCTTCAATCTCATAAAGAAAGAGAAAACTTTGAAGCAAACCAATAGGCTATCTTGTAGTGAAATCTAATCGCTTTATATACCAACAAGTAATGCATTGGGAAGGAGAAGGAGAAGGAGAAGGAGAAGGAAAAGAAAAGGCCTAACAGATATTCTAGTTAGAAATATGTCATAGATATTTATTCCACTTGATCACCAGATGATCTACTTTCATATTTCGATCTTTAATTCATGTCTGCAGATATTGTTAATTCGGATATAAGTTCATGCATAAACACAGTTTCTTGGGAATAGCTCATTGATATAGCTACAAATCGAAGGTGCTAATTTTAATCATGGTTGATAAGTTTATTCCCAATTATCTAGAAAGAACAAGACCCTTAAGAGGAAGCTCAACTGATATAAGGTTGGGATGTTTAAGGATACCCTTCAAGACTTGGAAAGCTTAATATTTTAGTCCTTGTGGTCACTCAGAGCTTGTCTTAGTATGAGAAAAAGCTACTAGAGCATTAGTGAGAGTGGGGTTAGTCATGACCATACAAGAGTAGGATTCCAACACCTTGATCAATCATTTAGTGTCGAATAAGTTGTTGGACTTTCTATTCTATGTTTGTTTTGTATGTCATTGACTTATTCGATATTTTTTAAGTTTAGGGTCCTATTAGGCATAATTCAATTAGATCTTAACATTTATGGTATAAGTTAACAAAAAGAAAACTTTATGAGTTTTCCCTAAACAGGAATTCTGGTAGAAGTTTATTTCTTGGCAATCTTGGGTTGAAAAAACTCGAAACTTAGTTCACACGTGTGAAGGACATAGAAAAATTCTTGAAAGAGTAATCTGCACCAAGATTCAACTGTGTGCATTGATTTAGATGAATGATATTTATTGCAAACACAATCATTCTCAAAATTGAATAAAATAAAATAAATTAGTCTTAAAAACCAAAATTCACTTCGTTCTTATTCCACTTTGTTGCGAAAAAATGCTTCGGGGAAAGAATTTTTTATGTTTATGTGTGTGTGTGTGTGTATAAAGCACACACAGAATACACAGAGCACTAAACAAAGTTTATTTTTGTATGAAAGCTCGGTTTCTTACCATAATATTAAACAAATCAAATTCTAAGCAATATTTGATTTGAATTGGTGCATACATTAATTCTAGCAAGTGGGTGCTTTATCCACTATGGGGCCAGCCCATTTGCTACATAGCAAGGAGAGTGATTCGGCATGAGATCAATCACTCAATGACAGAAAGATAAATGAATAATCGAAAGCACGATCAAATTAAGCATTAGTTTCTTAATCTCATTATTCTTTTCCCTTAAACATGCATTTATGAAGTGGGTTTACAATAATAATCATGTTCTTATACCTAATAGATTCCCATGAGCTTGAAAGTTTTCAGAAAAAAGAGGTGTCATGCTTTATGCATTTTACTTCCTATAAAAGCAGAACCAATATGAGCCATTAAAGAATTGTACCAACATACCTGTTCTCTCGCAGCTTCAGCATCCTTTAGAAGAAGGATGAATATCCAAGTTAGCCGATGGTGTGCCTCAGCCAAACCTTTCCTGTCTGTGGTGTTCTTGCAGTTTGGGCTTGCAGGAATGGACATTCTTTCAAAAGCAGCTCTCAACCAAGGAATGAGCAACTATGTTCTTGTTGTTTATCGCCATGCAGTTGCCACAATTGTTATAGCTCCTTTTGCATTGATTTTTGACAAGTACTCCCTCTCTTCCACTCAGATTCCTTCATTGACATTTTATCAAACAGTTTACATGCATGCATGAAGTGACCCTTAATATTTGAGGTTTTTCTTTTCACAGGAAGGTCAGACCAAAGATGACAATTCCAGTCTTTGCCAAGCTAATAGTGCTCAGCTTGCTAGAGTACTACCCCCAACACTTTTGCCAAATTGGTCTATTTCTCCTTGAAAATCTCTCCAAGAACATAACATTTTTTACATCTTCCCCTTTTTGGCAGGCCTGTGATTGATCAGAACTTATATTTCTTGGGTATGAAGTACACAACAGCAACTTTTGCAGCTGCTATGTGCAATATTCTTCCTGCCATAACCTTTGTAATGGCTTGGATCCTCAGGTATTCAATAAACACATCCATTTTTGGTTCCCTCTCTAAAACATGAAATCAAGTTCCTAAAAATCAACACATACTTTTACAGGCTTGAGAAGGTTAAAATCAAAAGCATCAGAAGCCAAGCGAAGATAGTGGGAACCATAGCAACAGTAGGAGGAGCCATGATAATGACACTGATTAAGGGCCCAATTTTAGAGCTATTTTGGGTAAACGAAAAAGCAGATCATCAACAACAACAAAGGGGTGATATCAGCCTTCAACACACAATCAAAGGCTCAATTATGATCACAATTGGCTGTTTCAGCTGGGCCTGCTTCATGATTCTTCAGGTGCCCTTTCCAAATTCATAAATCCCCTTTTCCAAAATCACACGAAACTTTTTATGAGATATTATTCCAATCACGCAGCTTAATAGCATGTGACGATTAACAAAAAGAACAGCGATAGAATCGACCTTTTTCTACCGCTTTCGAGGAAAAGAAAAATTCATGATTCATCACCAATAAAACAAAACCAAAAACATCGATCAATGATTTGAGATTTCTACAGGCAATCACTTTGAAAGCTTACCCCGCTGAGCTTTCTCTCACGGCTTGGATCTGCCTGTTGGGCACTGCGGAGGGCACTGTGTTGGCGTTGGTGATGGAAAGAGGAAATGCCGCCGTTTGGAGCATTACTTGGGGAACTAAATTGCTCGCCGCTGTTTATAGTGTAAGAAACTAAGCTCAAATATTATTATTTTTCATTTTAATTATTTATTTTAATTAATTTCATTTTTTTATATAAAAAAAAATTGGAATTTTGTAGGGAATATTCTGTTCAGGACTTGCTTATTACATTCAAGGAATAGTGATGAAAGACAAAGGACCTGTCTTTGTGACTGCCTTTAGCCCATTGAGCATGGTCATTGTCGCCATTATGAGTTCGTTCATTCTCGGCGAGCGTCTTTACTTTGGAAGGTAATTTCGATCCTTTATTTTACGATTACTTTAAAAATTTTATGTTATTAGGTTAAAAAATTCCGACCCCGTTACCAATATCCGCTCTCACGAGTGAATTTGGATGTTGGGTTTAATCTACGAACCTCAACGTATCATTTTAGAGATCTAAATTGAAAAGGGTTCATACTAAGTTGAAATTATAGATTCACGTATAGTTAAAGTTAAAAATAAAGGTGTTCAAAAAACTCAGTGAGTTGTAGAATTAAATCAACCTAATCCAACGTGTATGATGAGAGTTAGGCTAAGTTGGTTCGTGGGTTCCCTAAAATTAGTTTGGGATGAACCGAACCGAACCCAAATTTATTAAATTCAATACTTATTTTTCAAAAATATATAATAAATTTAGTTGCGAATTTTGATCCGTGCTTGAAATAAATAAATAAATGTGAGATCCCACTTCGAGAGACGAATAAAACATTCTTTATTCTTTATAAATGTGTGGAAACTTCACGTTTTAAAAATCTTGTGAGAAAGCTCGAAAGGGAAAGTACAAAAAGGACAATATCTGCTAACAATGGTCTTGGGCTATTATAATAAATGACCGAACAATCTGAACCAACCTAACCCAATAGTTTATAGTTGAGTTGGGTTGAGTTCATTATTTAATAAGAGTTGTTTAGATTGAAAAAATTTAAAACTCGAACAATTGGGTTAGGTCTAAAAAAACCATTAATGACCTAAAATAGGGATTACTTCAGGAATGGGTCGGTTGATATGACGTTAAATTAACCCTAAATTGTATAATTTTTGTAGGGTACTTGGAGCTGGTGTGATAATTGTAGGGCTATACCTTGTGGTTTGGGGCAAAAACAAAGATGGAAACGGCTCAAGTGAAGACCTCAAATTGCCCACCAAACAAACCCAAGAAATTGAAGCATCTAATTCAATTGGTCTAAACAATGACCCAAAATAATGTAAATCAAATGCATAAATAAGCTCATAAACTATTTCACATCCTTTAATTTCTTTAAGTGTAACAATCCCTTATTGTTTCAAAATTTTCATTTTTTTTTTTTTTTTTTTTTTTTTTTTTTTT